TCGAGCAATGTAAATAAACACGAGCGCTTCACGAGGAAAGCGTGAGGAGTATTGAGATTGCGGATGAAATGTAATTTTTGAGATTTAAATAATTATAATTAAGTTTGCGTATGAAAAGTGCTATTGGATGCTCTTTGACTTTTGGAATACAAATAAAACACAATTAAAATATTTTGAATTTTTTTTTTTGATTTACATCTTGACAAATATATTTTCAAAAAAATACAAAGCCGCCGATCGATTGTCAAGTTTTTAATCACTGGATTTGTATGGCTGATGAATACAAAGTGAGAACATTTTGAACATATCATCTAGTTATACATAGCATCATCAAGGTAGCTAACCGGGCTGGAATATTATTGTTATTCACCAGCTATATTCTCGTTATCTTCTCACGAAATAAACGTTCCAATGCGATGAAAAACATATACACAGGCCCTGTTATGTTGATCAAGGCGTTTCCAAAGTAATCTTTCAAGATAGTGAATTTGGGGAAAATGTCTAAAATCGCAACAGCTGAACGTTCGGTAAGCAGTTCGGTGATTTTGCACAGATTTCCTGTAATTTTTAATTTTTTTTTCCTGTAAGTGAGTTCCACTCACTTCGCTATGAAAAGTGTTTTTCGGAATTATGGAATCATTGGATGCTCTTCTTGTTTCTGACAAGCACAAACTATCATAATATATTATGATAGTTTGTACTTGTCAGAAACAAGAAGAGGTTGTAAACTAAGTGTTTGACAAATAAAACCTGCCATTATTGCTTTCAGTGCGTCACAATCAGCGAATTTATGGCTCGTGAGCTTTCACTCAGAGTTCACATGGAAACACATTTGAACAGCATGGATGAACTGATTGATAAGCTCTGTGCTGCTGGTCAAAATCTGGGAGAAACACTGCATATCGCTATAATTTTCCGGAGTGTGCCAACTTCGTACCGCAGCTTGGTGCAGAGCCTCCAGAGCCGGGCAGATGCGGATTGGACTGTGACATTGGTGAAGACACGGCTGCTCGATGAGTATCACCAGCACCGAGAACGGGACGAATCGCTGTGAAACTGAACGTCAGTTAAAAAAGAGAGTGAAAGCGAAGAGCCGGTGCAAAAGTTCTCGTCTGCTGGTCTTTCGCCAGTGTCGAAGATTGTTCGCCCAAGACTGGACGAACGGTAGCTGGTGGCCGTGATCGGTTCCTGGGGAAAGCACTAGACGCGAACCTCCTCCCAGATGACCATGGCAATGCAGGAAGTATTACAACGAATGTAATTGCTATTAGATATTTTTGCAAACAGTGACAGATAGCAGACATGAAGGTCAAGTGCAGGTGCCGGGCAAAGGTGTTATATCCTAGACAAATGGTAAGTTACAAATTCTCTGTTGTCGTTGTCGTAGGCGCCGTCGTATTCGCCGTAGTAGTCGCCGTAGGCAGTACCATTAGTATATCTAAAATTAACCATCAACCGCTGAAACTAAATGAATTCTCGCGTATTTCTGATTTTCATTACATACCAAGTGAAATTCGAGAACGTAAATTCATTTGAATAGCTTGTTTAACCAGGGCTTAAACAATCGTCACGTCGGTCATAGCTTATTATGATTACCTGAATCATGCGTAAAGAGCAAATTGACATAAGGAACGTCGCGTGAAAGTGGATCTTAATGAAGGCCTAAGTACTCTTTCGTAGCTTTTAGTTTTAGGATTTGAAAGGTCGTTGGTTGCAATGGCTTGCGCGGTCCTAGGTCTTTCATATTAAAAATGTATGGTAAGATCGCTTGTTTAACGTGTATTTTGTAAAACTTTTCGTTGTCGTCGGTGCCGGGTTTGAATAGTTATAACAATTTGAGTAACGGTATAAAGTGATATCAGGGGTTCGGTGGCCTTAGACCAACCGTTTTTGCTTACTGAGCAGAACATCATGAGTCTAATCTCAAGCCCATCCACATTCAAGGTTCACCACCTCTAAATGACAACGAAAAAGGCTCATTGTTACATAATTAGTCCCAATCATCATTTTCCGCATGGGAAAACTTGTCCCCGAACGATTATTAAAAATAAGCTCCACCCTAATAAGGGGCCTTTGTAGATGTTCAAGGAACATTACAACGATTTTCCGCCTCTCGAGTTTTTGTGTGGCAAATGCCACCTTCGCGACCTGTAAAACACGGTGCTGCTCATCGTGCGATAAAGCGCATATATATATTCAGCATACCACATCAACTAGGTAATACACTATTTAAAACAACATTATTTTTTTAATACTTCATTAGTTGGACGCATCTTTATTTTAGGCAGATTTATATTTTGAAGGTGCAGGTTTGGGTGCGACTACTTAGCTCTGACTATAGTCGCTATATTCATAAGGCTTGTACTCGAAAAAAAAATGCACCATTTTTATCCGTATGTAACTTTTTTATCCGTGGGTAAAAATTGATGAAAATCTGGTATATAACTAGTTTGGAGTGAATTGTTTACATGTGCAACATTTCATAACTATCGGTTCAGTGGTTATTGAGATGTCATCGAAACAAGAAGAAAATCGTCGGAGAATTTTGCACGCCATCATGGAAAATCCGACTGCAACCATGAGATGGATTGGAAGACAACTGGGAATCACCCATACATCTGTGTCTCGGGTGGTAAAATCGTTTAAGGAGTCCCAGACGACCAAGCGGCGGGCTGGAAGTGGAAGAAAATCGTAGACAGCTGACCCTGTGAAGGCCCGGAAGGTGTTGGATTATTTCAAGCGTAATCCGAACCTTTCGATTCGCGGTGCGGCTCTGAAGGCAAAGTGTTCCGCCTGGTTCGTTCAGCAAACCATGAAATGAGCTGGGCTTCGTGTATTCAAGGTCCGGAAGGCACCGAACCGGCGTGATCAACAAAACACGGCGACCAAATCCCGCTCAAGGAAGCTGTATCGAGAGTGGTTAACGAAACCGATGTGTGTGGTTATGGATGACGAAACCTACATCAAGGCAGACGCAAAGCAGATACCGGGGCAGGAGTTCTACGTTGCCAAATCACGGTTTGATGTTCCGGAAGACATAAGGAAGAAGAAAGTGGATAAATTCGCCAAAAAATACTTGCTCTGGCCAAATGCCAATGCGGTAAACTGAGTAAACCGTACATCACAATGGGTACCATCAACAGTGAAATTTACCACACCGAGTGCCTCCAGAAGCGTCTCTTGCCCTTTCTGCGGTCCCACGGAGGCGAGACATTATTTTGGCCGGACCTGGCATCATGCCATTACGCGCGATCGACGTTGGATTGGTACAGAGACAATAACGTTGTTTTTGTACCAAAAACCGCCGGTGGAAAGATTTTGGGCCATAATGAAGGCCAAAGTTCGAAAATCGTCCAAGGTGCTTAAGAACGAGCTGGAGTTGAAGAAAGAATGGATGAAAGTGACCAAAAAGGTCGGCTCCCCCATTGCACAAAATGTAATGAGGGGTCTTAAGGGAAAGGTGCGGGCTTTCAGCGATGGAAAAGAAATTGAATAAATGTATTAGTTCATTCCCTGAAAGTTTCAAGAAAATCCGACTTAAAATAAATTTTTGGCGAACACTTTTGTCTGGTGCATTTTTTTAGAGTACAGGCCTTAGTCTGGCGGATAGAATCTCGGGAACCTTTTTTTTTTTCTTTATTAGAGAGATTTTTAGCCATAGGCTAGTTCATCTCTTATCTCGGGAACCATTTGAGCTGTAAAATAGTGGAACTAATCGAGCAAATCACGACCAACAACAGAAAAGAGCACATCAGCTATTGCGAACAAAATTTCGGAAATCGTTTTCTCGTGACTTAAGGCTCGCCTACACAAACTAACACCATCTTTAGGTTGTGGAAAGTTTCCCCTATCCGATGATACTGGTAATTTAGCATCGACTGGCGAGGAAAGAATAATCAACGTTTATAGTACCTTTTCAGTACCTTTTAGTACCCGATTTTTGATATATCCAAATTCTATCCGCCAGACTATGAATATAGCGACGATAGTCAAATGAGGTTAATTTTCCTACCTGTTTTGAATAATAAAAAGAAGTCCACTGTAAAATGTGTTAGTAGTGCAAGCATACTTAGGTAAACTTGTGAAATTTAAATCCCCTCGACCGTTTCGAAGCTCGAAATTGCAGTTCCTAAAGAAAGACCCTTCAACGCTTCAGCACAAGTTCGATGACGTTGACAAACGTGACCAGGGCAGCAATGTGCTCCAGGAACCGGAAGGAACACCAAGAGATGAGCTGAAATAGTTGGATTTTTTTTTGTTATCCTTGGATTTCAGTTCCGAACGAGTGCAGTCACGTTTCCCTAGAGGACCACGATGGGAAGGGGGGTAAACGCAGTGCAAGTAAAGCAGTAACTGCAATGAGTAGTGCAGCCACCATGGGATGATGCTTAATGGTGCTATTTAAGAGTACGAGCTAAATACGAAAGAATAAGAAGGAACCGTTTCACTTGGGAGCAGTTGGACGATTAAAATGCTTCGCGCAAAGTGCTACAGTTTCTGAAACCCGTAACGGGATGTCTGGAAATCCTAAGGTGAGTTGGTTCCATCGAGTGGAATGCTACAAATGGAGAGAAATGAAATTTTATTGGTGGAATACACACAGGTTCATGCAATGGACTGGGGTAGTGGAGAAACGTTTGCGGTTGCATTTACGGTAGGTACACACCACTTCAGGTGCGGGACGGAATTGCAATGGACGGTAATTATGGACACGTGTATAGCAGTGGGAAATTGACCACTGAACTGCGAAATGGATTTCCTTTGTTGATTGTTCCTATTGTGGGATGACTACTTAAGGAAAATGCTGAGATATTGAGATAGATTGCGCTCCATGGAACCATTAGCAAGGACGAATAATATTTAAGAATCGAATATAATGCGATTATCCACCAGGAAAGTTTTCGCTTAATGCACTATCAACAAGTTGAAGAACCATGTAAACACACAGAATCCAATTTTCCAGCAGAATAATTTTCCTTCTTCTTGGTTATCCTACTCACCTTTCCTCCAGTTTGGATATCCGCTGTTTTAGCTTCGCCTGACTGGCCGAGTATTCAGCTAGAAGTCGTGCCAACCGGAGGTTCAGGTTCTCTACCGTTTGCTCCAGTTTGGCTACCCCACTTTCCAGCGTGTCCTGTTGGTGCTGGGCGCCTGTTGATTGTTAATTAAATTTTCACTTTAATCTCAGCATCTGTTACTTTTTTCATGCTCATCGTTCGTTACAAGCAAACGAACGGGGTAAAATTGTTGCTCAAACAGAAAAGCTCCGATACTAGGGATGCTAGAGTTTCCGAGCCATTTTTCATTCGTTCTGCTTGCGACGGGCAACCCTGAGGCATTGGGCGAGAATACTTACTGGCAAAAACTGCCTCGTCCAGTAGGCCATCCTTACGCAATAATTGACACCCACGTTCCGTTAGCGACGCCCGCGCTTCCGGATAGTCAGCCAAAGTTTCCCACAGGTCACGTTTCGCCAGACAGAACAGATCCGAATAACCTTTGGAAAGGAAAAAAAAAAAGTGTATTAATTATCACCCTCGCCTTTGACGGAATCCACAGCAAGGCCTTACCAATTGACCGCACGTTCGCCGTCCGTCGGTTTCCGGTTCGATTACCGGCGATTTCGAGCACCGAAACTTCCCCAAATACCGATCCGGCCCCGAGCGTGGCTAGCACCAAAATTCCATCGTCCCCCACCACCGACAGGCTGCCCCGCTTGACGATGTACATCTCCTTCCCCACGTCGCCCTTCCGACAGATGTAGTCACCGGGACTGAAAACCTGTAATTTCGAGTAAATCACAATCTCATAGTTCACAGTCGTCAGCCAGAGTGGTACTATAGCGCAGACAGACCTGTAATTTCAGCTTCAGCACCAACGCTTCCAGCAGGCCCGGTTCGCAGTCCTGAAAAATGCGCACTTGCTTCAGGGTGTCCATGTGCACCCGGATGGCAATTTCGGCCTTCAGTTTGTCCGGCAGTGCCGCCAGGACCCGTTCCTCGTCCAGGGCGCCACTTTGTGCCCACGTGTACGCAAACCAGCGGATGACCTGCAAAGGAAAGGTGGACATTTTTATTTGGTGCAGGTATTAGACGTATGGGGAGTAATTTTAAGTTATTTCAGATGGATTGAATTATGACTCTAAATTTTAAATTCGTCGAATTTCAGATGAGTATTGTTCAATTGGTTCAATCTTATCGGGTTATTTCCTATTGGTTTATTTTAAATTAACTTACCCTTGCTTCCAGCTCTCCTCCAACTTTTCGGAAAGCCATGTATTGCTTTACACCGTCCATTCGATTCTGAAACTCTACCCGAGTGACGTTCATATTGGAGATCATTGAACCGATGTTACCTGGAATTTGAAATGAGATAAACAATTAACACCACCAAATAAACAAAAAAGAGAAAACAGTCGGTTTCTGCTTGGAATTTGCACCAGAAGTAAATTCAATCAGTCTTAAATGCATTCCACGGTTTCCCATCAAGGATATGATATCCTGAGAGTGGAAAATTTAGTCAATCCGATATGAGACCGCACATTTGATAGGTTCGGTTTGTTTTGTCCGCGTGCTCTTCACCATTAGACTGGTATCACATTTACTCATACTGTTGAAAAATCCGTCAATATCCGATATTTGTCCGCATCCGGATTATGTAGATTAAATTTAAGCGCGGTTGATTGGCATCTTTGTCACTTTTAAGCCAACGAGTTTTCATAGCTTTCACTGGCAAATGTGATGGATGACCTCCAACGATTATCCAACCTACCACGGCTAGCACCTTGCTATCCCATTGTGTGCATCCCAGCGAATATCCTGCACGGCGACGGTGGAAACAACGAAATGCTTTTATGGAGGAAATAATCGGATCAAATGACCAAGAATGGGATCTCCTTTATGGGTCCGCCATACGTGAGGACTGCACGATTGTGAAATTGTTTCTTAACCGACGATGGCGATGTTTCGTTTTACAGTCGCCCTTGGAAATGCGATTATTGTAATCCAATTCTTAGCCATTAATGTTTGTGAGCTACGTCGGTGATACAAATGTGGCTTTTTTTTTCGTCGTTCGAGAGGTAATGAAGTAATGAAAAGTTATGGAGCGGTATATTATGGGTACTAAAATGATTTCCAAGACAATCCAAATCACAACTTACCGACAATGGTGGCGAAGATTAGCACCCCGGCGAGGAAGTCTGCCACCACAAACAGATACTCGGCGTCGTTTTCGGGCGTGGGTGTCTCGCCGATGGTGGTCAACGTCAGCGTGGACCAGTAGAAGCTGTAGATGTACTGCCGGGACAGGGTTAGATTTTTCGCTCCGTTGATGTTGTACACCCAGTTGTCGGTGCTGAAACCCAGTGCGTAGCTTATTGCAAAGTAAAGACACGCATTCCAATGAATTAGTACTAAGATAGCTAAAACGACCTAAATGGTAGAAGGGGGTAATTAATACTGCGTCAGCGACTGCAAAGTAAACCGGAAACTCACCTTACATATCCTAAACGCGTTTGGGTAACCGGTGGCCGTTTCGGTCCGGTCGAACCATTCCCACATTCTTGGAAGACGCAGTAACCTATTAATTCTAACTATGATTGGACAGGGAAGCCGGGTCGCTGCACAGGAACTCGGCGCCCACCAGATGTAGGCCAGATCGGTGGGCAGCATCGATACCACGTCCAGCCACCAGCGCTGCTTGGAGAAGTAGTGTCTCCGCAGTTTGGACGCGTCACGTACCAGCAGACCCTGCTCCAGGTACCCTGTGGAGGAAAAAAAACGAACGGAAGAAAAATCCATCAAGATTAAAAGCCGTCGAGTTCGGAACAAGTGAATTAAATTGTCGCAGCAGGAGAACGATGCTGCTGGGGCACGTACGCAACGCAGGTCGTCAATGAATGGTAGATTGACCGGTTGTTGTTTTTGCCTTACTGGTGCTGTTGTAGCTGGCAAGAAGCAGCGTGAAGAATTGATGAATAATTAATGGGCCGGGATGGGGAAAAGATGAAAACAAATCTCATCAATTAGAAGGGAGAGCGAAAGGCAAATTAATGTTCGCTCTTCTTAGGGACTGGAGGTGGGATCAGTTTCCACAGTCGCCGGGACGCGGTGACGGATGGTACGTGGACGGACTTCGGGGATGCTAATTAAAATAGAATTTTGCTCTTTGGGTTATTTTTTTTTCTGCTTGAACAGTTGCGCAGGTCTTGGGTCTAATTTCACGGTTGATTAAATATTTACAAGTACGGTGTAAATTAATGGGGTTCTTTTATTAGTTGTGTAGAAATGTTTGTGAATATTATAGTTGGTCATTAAAAATCCTTTAAAAATGTGCACATTAATTCACATGAATGATTAAAAAAAATAACAGTTTGTGTTAAAGTTACAGAGCCGTACTTAGGATGTTTGTTTAGGTAGGCAGGGTTGCTTCCTTTCACTTGCTATAAACAAATATTATTCGGAATTATGCAATCATTAGATGCAATAATGATATTTTGTACTTGTAAGTAACAAGAAGAAATAGTAAAGTATGTGTTTGACTCATAAAACCTGTGAATTTCGCTTTGAGAGCGTCACAATTAACGATCTTATGATTCGTGAGTGTTCACTCAGAGTGAGCGCTCACGAGTCGTAAAATCGCTGATTGACAGACAGACAGATTTTATGTGTCAAACATATACTTCATGACCTCTTCTTGTAACTTACAAGTACTAATTAGTATTGATGTAGATGATTTCATAGTTCCAAAAAATACATATTTTATAGCAAGTGAGTGGAAGTAACCCTGGGTGGAGATCTTTTAGCGCTGCTCCTTCTGGTTCCTTCACTTTTACGATGCCCTCATCACATTCCCTAAAAGTAGTCTTACGTTGCGTTGCGACTGTAATGGAGTAAATCGTAGATTGCATGCTGGCAACTGTCTATATATACTTTAACGTTCTTATTATGATCTTCGCCGTAACGGGGAAAGGAACGATATTGTTGATGTAACGTCTATTTAACTGGAAACCAGCTACTCACCGACGCCCCCATAGATGCTACGGATTTTTAACGCTTAAGCAGACGATGCGACCATAATAATTGGTTTGTTTTGGAGGAGCTTGGGAATAAACCCACGATCTTCTACTCAGTAAGCAAAAGCAGCAGCCGCCAAGCTATCTGAGTTTCACAAATTTTAATTCCAGTCCTATTTAAAATAAAATATAAACAAAAAATGATCAAATTTACTCCAGCCATGAGCATGAGCATGAGCATTGACGACCATACATTTCAGTAGTTGCTACTCCGTGATTGACCAGATTGAGCAAAATTTGTACAAAGAACCATATGAATGGAGCTTAGGACTAGCAATCCATTCTCAGTGTACAAAATCCTGAGAATCCTTATTTTTGAGGTCAATAACGGCGCCTGCCACGTCCTTGCGGTCGTCGGGGAGGGAAAGGATTGTTATTTCAGCAACCGTTGTTACTAGATACCGAGTATATTTACCTCTGCATCTCCACGGTTGTCACGGGAAGGACGTTTTTGTAAGTGGGAAGGGTAAGTTAGATCTCGATACACACTGGAAAGTGATGCGATCTTAAAGCCTGTTAAGTAAATGACACGACCCTATCAACTCAGTAATGTATGTAGGTATGTAATGCCACCGTGCCTCTTACATCACAACAAGCTACGACCGACGATCGTTCATTATCGGTCACAAGAAGCTATTACAATGAAATGAAATCCTCCAAAGTAGTTAACAATGTCTTCCGAACCGGATCAGCCGTATGTCACATTGGTCTAAACATACTTATTACTTTTCTGAATGATAGATTAACTAAGTAATGTAATGAGGCTTGGGTTTTAACCCATGATCTTCTACTCATTAAGCAAAAACAGTTGCTCTATAGCCTCCGTGCCCCTTACATTACCACAATCTACGACCGACTTAACAAAAAGCTATTCAAAAGAAGCGACGTCTCTGAAAGCAACCACCAATGTCTTCCAAACTGGATCACGCATACACCCTTTCCGAAACTCATGGTTTAAACAATTCAACTATTGGTTATGAACAGGGTTGCTTCCACTCACTTGCTATAAAAAAATATTTTTCGGAATTATGCAATCATTAGATGTTATAATGATATGTTGTACTAGTAAGTAACAAGAAGAGGGTGTAAAGTGTGTGTTTGACTCATAAAACCTGTCAATTTCGCTTTCAGAGCGTCACAATCAGCGATCTTATGATTCGTGAGCGTTCACTCAGAGTGAGCGCTCACGAGTCATAAAATCGCTGATTGTGACACACTGAAAGCAATATTGACAGATTTTATGTGTCAAACATGTACTTCATGACCTCTTCTTGTAACTTACAAGTACTAATTAGCATTATACTATTTCATGATTTCATAATTCCGAGAAACATTTTTTTATAGCAAGTGAGTGGAAGTAACCCTGGTTATGAACTGTGCATTATGCTCTCGCAACCCAACGATGGCGGCTTATTATGTTGTGGGAGAGCTTGGGATTAAATCCATGATATTCTGCTCATTCAGCAAAACCGATCCCTCTAGGGTTATCGAGCATCTCAAAACCACAATATTGTGTGTGGCAGGATAATTTCTCAAAATGGGATTATACCATCTGTTCTCTGTTTATAGCCGTACGACTGTGCCCAATGATTTAACACATGGCGTCTCGTTATCCAGGATTCTCTCCTCAAGCCGCTGCCATAAAATACTATCTAAGTTACACACCTGTGTATAATTCTTATGGGCGGGGTTGCAGCGTGCTTATGAGCGGCGCGCTTCGACCGTCACCAAATGAGAATTTAACATATGCACGACAATAATATGATTGCGAAAAATTACTTCCATATGTTAAAATTTAATCGTTATGCATGAATGGAAGCAAACAACTTTTATAAGAAAGTCATTTTAACCCTCCGTTACTCCCGTCTCGAATGAACTAAATTCTCCTCTTACAACGACGGAACAGTTCAAAGAGACGTTAATAAACTTAGCCTTAGCCTCCGTTACTCGCGCTCGAGATGGGAAATGACAGGTGGGCAGGAACTCACGGTCTCCCAGTGTTGGTGAGTTCTTTGTCGCTAATGTTCACGAAAAGTTCACTATTTTGCCATACAGAAATTCAAAACAAAAATTTGTATCTGCGGATTTGGACAGTTTTTGACCTGTTTCATACGACGTCACTGCTGGTCACAAATGCCGTGCTAAACTGATTTCCTACGCAATTAATCAATCTTTGATGTGAATTTCGCTAATAAACACGAGGAGCATTTCTTATAGCAAAACTTGCCATAACAAAATGGGCGGTTCATTTTAGTAAACAAACTAACACTTCTTCCGACTGTGCCACCTCTCTTATTCGCCTAGACTCGCGCTGTTGTACTTTGTACAACACACATGAGTTTTCCATTGCCATTTTGTTGCTGAGTTACCAATCGATCTAAAAATAACGAGAATTCCTCAAAACATTTGTTTTGATATAAACAAGCTCAACTTCGATTACAATAAACACCTTAAAAATTCGGATAATAGGGTAAATGTAAATGGAAACCGTGTAAACTGTGACCATACTACGTAGGATTTGACTTAATTGATTACAACATGGAATATATCGAGATCCTGACCAGATAGACAGTTGTTCAGGAGATCATAGCCTTGTCACTGGGGGACAGTAGTTTAGAATTTTCTCACTACGTAGCGCTAGTATACATGTGAAATTATCGCATGTGATATACCTCGAGATCCTGACCAGATAGAAAGTTACTGTCTTTCACAAAGTTTTTCAGGAGGTCAAAGCCTATTGCTTGGTGCTCAATAGTTCAGAATTTGCTCACTGCGCGACGCTAGTATAACGTGAAATTGTCATATAAAATATCTCGAGTTCCCAACCAGATAAAAAGGTACTGTCTTCGGCATAGTTGTTCATGAGGTCAACGCAGGTGGACAGTAGTTCAGAGTTTTCTCACTTCGTGACGCAACTATACATGAGAAATTTTCGCATATAAAATATCTCTAGATCCTGACCAGATAGAAAGTAAATGTATTCGGCAAAGTTGTTCAGAAGGTCAAGATCTTTTTGTTGCGTGACAATAGTACATAATTTTCTCACTATGCAGCGCTAGTCTAAACGTGCCTTTCTCGCAAATTCAATAGCTCGAGATCTTGATCAGCTAGAAAGTTGCTATCTTCGGAAAAGTTGTTTAAGGGGTCAAGACTTTTTGGCTGGTAGACAGTAGTTAAGAATTTTCTCATCACGTGACGTTAGTATACATGTACACTTATCGCATATGCTATATCTCGAGATCCTGACAAGATAGAAAGCTACTGTCTACGACAAAGTTGTTCAGAAGGTCAAGGTCTTTTGGCTGGTGGACAGTAGTTCAAAATTTTCGCACTTCATGGTGCTAGTATACATGTGAAATTCTCACATATAAAATATCTCAACTTCATGATCAGGATATCACAAACTTTTTGCTCAAAGACAGTTGCTCAAAATTTTCTCAATATGTGCCGCTAGTGAAATGTGAAATTTTCGCCTGTGATATATCTCGAGATCCTGACCAGATAGAAAGTTACTGTCTTGAACAAAGTTATTCAGGAGGTTAAAGCCTATTTTTTGGTGCACAATGTTTCTGAATTTTCTCACTACACGGCGCTAGTATACACGTGAAATTTGCACGTATAAAAATCTCGAGATCCTGACCAAATAGAAAGTTACTGTCTTCGGCAAAGTTGTTCTGGAGGTCAAGGTC